TGGTGTCGCATTCGTGTTGTTCTTTCTTTTTCTTTTTCTTTTTTTTTTTTTTTGTTTTGTCATTGGTGGGAGAATGATTATTCTAGCTCCGAGGTGCACGCAACATTCATTCATGTGTCATGAAATTGAATAAGCAAATGACGTGCTGACTGCCAGTTGAAACTGAAATTTCCAACATGACGATTGCACGTCGTCCGTCCCCACTGCCCATTTCCCATTCCATGTGGCATTCACCTTTTTCCCGACCACAAAACGCAGTTTAAATGGAAACCATGCCATCAAACTACCTCAAACTCTATATATACATATATGACATTTCATGCCAAAATGCAGACAATTGTCAATTGTAACAACTACACCCCTTTTTCCACATGCTCAGCTCAGTTCTCTGGCTTATTTTTTCTGCCGCCTTTTCGTACATGCACATCGAAAATAAATGTTCTGTAGAACCAGAATTTCTTATGAAAAAAAGCCTGCTAAAATATTACACATTTCTGCTCTGCAACTGTTGTCTTTTCAAAGTAACAATATTTTCTATTCATTCGGTAGTGTATAGCTTAGGATAACATGGGTATGGCTAACCTGGTATTATATTTTATCTGCAGATGATGTTTATCAAGATATAAATCGCGCTGAAGATCTGTTTTGCCAGTGTATATAAATTCGTATAGGCCAGAGACCAGACCACATGCTAAACGAATGTTGACAAACAATTATTATTTTATTATTATTTGTTTGTCTGTTGTCTGAAAGTGCCCTCTCAGCACCTCTCCGTATCGCTATCGCAATAGCTGCTGTTGCTCTGGTTCGGAACGTCTATCTATCAGTCTGACAGTTAGTTTGCATGACTTTCACAGATACCCACACTGGCATACACTCTACACATAGAGAGTCGCTCACACAGATACTTTTTACACTCTCACATGTCAGTTGTCGTCAGAGCGTCTGCCTGGTATTTTTTTTCACCTCCTCCCCGCGTTTGTTTACTTTGTCTAACTGCTATTTGTAATACAATTCATGTTCTGTTGTTGATTATTTTATTATTATTTTTTGTTCGCCCGCTCGCTGCTCGGCGCTGAAATCTTCACATGCAACATATTTTAGCGACCTAAAATTAACTAAAACAAACACAGATACTGCAGATTGGGCGTATCGCGGGGGTATAAACAAAGTTTGACAGCTGAATATTAAGCGCTTAAATATTTGCCACATTTTCATTTTTCTTTCTGCCCCTCGTAATTGTGGCGAAATATTTAATAAAGTTCTCTGGCCTGTCGGCCTGATTGCTTTGGATTAAATGGCTGTCAGTTGGTCGAATGACAAGTTGAAAAGGGATTTTAGTCTATGACGAAATATAGTTTTAAACAGTATATCGTAGGAATAAAAGTATGTGGATTAATTGTAAAAGATTATTAGGAATTTAGCTGAAACCCAAACTAAAGGCAAAATCTTCTTATTCAAATGGGTGGCACACAGTTTTTCGCCCTAACAGAGTTTTCCTATCTGATCCATATTTCCCAAGTAATTTTCTCGGTATCTGCGAGAGGAACATTTCTGTGTGCGTTGGCACACAGTTTTCCAGCTGAACCATTACTAATAACTTAATTCGATTCGAGGAAATGGGCAAGCGAGTATTCTCATTCATATTGGGGCGTATCTAAACACAGAAATCTAAAGCTCAATGGCTCATTAAAGCGAGAAGAGCGGGCGGCCTCGAATTCGTTCTTTCCCCTTCTTTAGATTACACATTTATTGTTGGTAATATGAATAAAAATGAAAATTTCGAATGCAAGTGTGTATGTATATAGCTAACTGTGTGAGGCTGCTAATTATGCATGCCGCATATGAGCGTTTGCATTAGAAAAACGGCAGCAACAGGCTGCTTATGCAATCCAATGCAGTGCAAACCGACAAGAAGGAAAAACAAGACAAAAAATAATCAAATACAAAACAACGGGGCAAAAATTATAATAATAATGCAACGGCAACAAAACCAAGAAGGGGAGGCAGGAAAAATATTAAAACAAAAAAAACAAAAAAAATGTAGAGATACAGAGTAGAGAGCATTGCAATAATGGCAAACGAACCAAAGCACGCAGTTCGCCTACGAAATGAGCATTTCACATCGTGTGAATTTTAATTAAAGCACCGGCACTGCAAAAGTTAGACGCACTAAGTCAGCGAGCTTACTGCTTAATTAAATGCAACATATGCCGCTAATTAAATTTATGTGGCCGTCACAAGCTTTGATTATCAAAAATTATTTATGCAAAATCTCTGACAGGAAATACCTGCAACTGGCAACCGGCAACCTGCAACCGGCAAACGGCAACCAGCAACCTGCAACCCGCAACTTGCAACAGGCGATGCATGGCTCGATAAGCCCAACGGCAACATAAACAACATAAGCAACATCAACTGCAACGGTAGCAACAAAAGCCTGGCTTAATTTAATTGTACATAGTTTTTGGTTGCGTTGTTAATTATGCTGCAGTGTTGTGGCTGCTTTGATTTAATGAGCGAGTGTGCTGGTTAATTTATTGGGAGAGCCAGTCAATTGATAAGCCCAATTAAAAACGGGGCATCATCTATTGATTTTCACATAAAAAGCTCCTGCAGCAGTAATTCAGTTAAAATTGTGCTCGACTTAAAATTCATGTACAGCCATTAATATATTTAATATAATAAGGTTACCTTTTGAAATCGAATTTATATTTAACATGATAACAGTACTAATAAATCGGAATTAGGACATAGTCCGCACGTTGTGGCTTAAAATTTCTATAAACTTGAGGGAAATTTAAACTTCTTCCAAATAAGAAGTTTACATAATTGAAATGGGAAATGCAATATGTAATAGAAACAAGTTTTGAATGGAATTTGAATCGCTAATGCTATTACTCAATTCCTGAATGAACTGTAATGACACTTTCTATGAATGACAACCACTTTCTGTGCGATTTGCATTTGTACAATGCATCAGTTGTACTATATATATGCAGATATATCTATAAGTATATGTATCTGGCCGAGGTGTTGGTGTAAACAATGTGTGGCAAACACTTGCACTATGCGCATAATCGACCAGGGAAACCTCTTACATATTTATTTATTGTGCCAAGGCGACTAACTCGCCGACTGACTGGCCGAGGGAACTATGGCCAGATGCAGTGAGTCACCCTGATGGAAACGCAACTGAAGTGATGGGCCCGGTCGGGTTTTCTCTTTTGGAATTTAATTCATTAAATTAAAATTAATGTTTATTTACGCGCCATTTTGCAGCGTGCCAGTGTGCCTAGCCAAAAGTGTTGCCAACAGAGCATAAATTAAAATATATTACGAGCAGAAAACGGCGACTTCAACTTGTTTTAAAATTAGCCAATGCAATAAGCAGCAACATCATTATGCTTGTGATTAGCACAGATAGCTTTTTCCTCTTAATTAAATTAGTTTGCCGGTGCCAGCAATTCGATATTGCTGATGGCTTTGCATCTGACACTTGATTGACGGCAGCTGGCAAAAAGTATAAATTATGCCTAATGGAGTGCGCAGATTTACTTAAACAAAACGAGTTTTTCGTATAAAAAAATGTAAAACTGTCCGCTCAAAGAGCCTGATAACAGATCTACAAGTAAATCAATATTTGTAGTATTTTTTCCCCAGCGTTTTTGAATCAGGTACTATAATTAAGCGATTGTGCCGCTGCGATTGGAAAATTAAAAACGTTTTAACAGCGATTTCGCAGAGATAAGACTGTCTAGCTATGAATAAACTAAAACTAGCTAAACAAATGTGTAACAAGCGCCGCAACAAAACAAACAAAATTATTTTAAAAAAATCGAGGGGGAGATGGGAATGATAGACTAGACTATGTACAGCTGGTTTGTCATTAGAAATGCCAATTGCACGTAATACGTCAAATGTTTTGTGGAATTATTTTTAATGAAATGTTGTGTCATTAGGCGAAAAGAGGGGCGCGTCTGGTCAGCGATTAGGTTTCCATTCTTTGTTTTGTTGGTTTTGTTAATTTAGCTAAAAGTCCATTAAACGTTATAGTTCCTATGGCCGATGGAACTATTAACGTAATTGTTTATAAGGCACTCGGGGACCTCTGCTTTACACCTTATGGCTCTGGGCTCATGGCTCATGAGCCATGAGGCTTATGGCTTGTGGCCGAAAGGTAGTGGAGTGGAGTCGCATCAATAGCCGTAATTATTATGATGTGTGACATGCAGCCTGCACGGCCGGCAGTCATTATCATTATGTTCAGGGACAGTGAACTGTCCTTGATGATGATGGGGCAACCTGATTTGGCCCAGAATTGGGCATGAAAACCAAAGGATCTCGATGGGGTTCGGTCTTTAAAGTTGAAATACACGGACTCCCAAAGAATCATAATGATCTGAGATATTTTTATAAATAATACTGATGAAATGCTGCTTAATGGCTTCCTGGCACTAGCCCCTTTTCAAGGCATACAAAAGCAAGGGAAAACTTTTTCGTTCTTGAACTGCACTTTCTTTATAGCATGAGCTCCGATAGGCTCATTATATTTTTAGAACCCCTAGGTTTTTTCTTTGTTTATGGAGGTGCATTTGTGCGGGTTTTATGGAAGTAAGCTGAGAGTTTACCACAGGTGTAGGAGTATCTCGTCGACTCGCAGATATAAAATGCCCCAAAACAAATACGACCTCGAACATATCGTTCGAATCACCATTTAACAGGGAATACAACCCACATGGCCTCTTTCCGTCGCCACTTTGGCCACTTGTCAACGCCATCAAATGGCAAAAGGCACAGCAAATGATGCAGGGGAGTGAGCTCACTTTATTTTTATTGCATTTTAGCAACGCTTACTTTTGAACAATCAATTCAACTCTTCCTACCCCCTAAATGCCTCACTTTACTTAAGCAAACTGATTTTTATCATCGCTGCCGTCGCGTCGTTTTATGAGCATCATCAAAAACTAATAAAAACTCAATGCGTTCTTTATTTGCAGGCAGACGGCAGTCGTAACCGTACTCTATACTAGAGACCCCAAACCCCGGAGAACCAAAGAACCAAAGAGCCGAGGACCCCAAAGAATTGGAAGAGACACACTGTGGAACGAACCACAAAGGCAACATGTTGCACATGCACTCGGCAAAAAGCAATTTGCATACAAATGTTGCCAACGCACTTCAAAAACTGCACAATCACAGGGGTTTTTTTTTTGAGGGGGAGGGGGCGGAAAAGGGTAAAAGCCGCTTCATAATTTGATATTAAACATGCACGCGTGTCTCCTTCTCTTTTTCTCCCATGTGTGCAACTTGTAAATTTGCAAATTGCTAAAACGCATGACAGGAACAAAGGGCGAGTATCTTAATGGCGGGGAAAGTGGGAAGACTATCGGGCAGCTGTGTGAATTTGCATTTACATCAAGGAACCGCAGGACAGGAAAAGGACCCCAAAAAAGTTATTCGAAATTCAGTCTCACAAGAAAACTGAATAAAAAGTGCACTTTACTCAATTGACTTTCAATTGCTTAACATACAAAATGCATTGGGAAAAATAGTAGAGCTCAAGACGAAAGAAATTTTCTATTTGGTCCCTCGCGGCGGATTGTTCTAAAGTTATTCTAAACTTTTCTTAATTTCGTTATGATTTGTACACAAAGAATTTTTTTTTTTTGAATAGACTACTGTAGTGAATTTCTTGCAGTGCTGCTTTGAATAAAGAAGGCAAGCCCAAATGAATTTATTTTCAATTTTATTTTCAATCTGCTTTGTGTCCGTCATATGATTGACATGGTCGATTGAACTGGCAAACGAGTGAGGGAGTGGAACGATACACATATCGTTTATTTTTGGCAGCAAGTGTTTGCGTTCGATTTGCAGTTTTGTTAATACTGCACTCGAAAAATATCCGAGACACCTCCTCAACCTCAACCAAAATCCAAGGGCTCTTGAATCCAAAATCTCTAGAGTCTTAATAAGCTGGTGCGAAAAAAAACAAGTGCACTCTTTTTATATCTGATCAGTACACGCAATTATATGTACCTACTCATATTTTGGGGTAATAAGTCTGTGTGTGTGGATATATAAATCATATTTATGAGACATTTCCCCAGGAGAGAAAAGAGGAAAAGGTATAAGAAAAAACATATGAATGTTAAGTAGGCACGCAATGTGCGAAAGGGATGGCCACAAAATGCGTCAGTCCCCCCCATTTTCCTGACTTTTCCTTAGCGAAGGAAAACAATAATCAATAAGTAATACAACGGCAAGCAACTGTGGGGAAACTCACCCCCGTCTTAGCCAAATTTCCTCCCTCTCGTTCATATGTGTTACAATTTTAGTTGCCTCAGCGTGGGTAGTTCATAACTTTTCTCTCATGTGTGTGTGTGTTTGTGTGCCTGTGGTGGTTTTCCTTGGTTCTTGGCCAGGACTTCGGGCGTTTGACAGCCATGTTTGTCCTTCGCACATGCACACACCCACACATGATTGTAGGCGTCTCCTTGTGACGGCACCCCCAAAAAAACCGGCCAAAAAAAGCAGGGAAAACGAAAAAAGTGTTGCGGAAAAGTGTGCCACAAACTTTTCGCCCGAAAAAGTTTGTCTGCTGACACAGATCTGTGTGTAAATGAGCGAGATAAGAAACATTCGCAAATTTTCCAGACTCTGCCTCTCTTTTGCGCTCTAAGCGTACACGTAAAAAAATGTTTATAAACATATATTTCCCTAATTAAAGCTTAAATAAGCAGATACGTTTTGTATAACTTTCAGATTAGACTCAGATCAGATTAATATAACTAATATCAGATTAATATTTAGTATACTCAATCAAATTGAATGCCTTAGGTCTTAAATTTTAAAAAAGGAATAAAACAGTTCCAACATTTTCCTCCGAGTGTGATCAACCTTTTTTTTTTTTTGTTTTGGCTTGTTAAAGAGTTGCCGAAAAACAAATTGGAAAAATTTGGTTAGACTTTGGGTTCGTTTCAGTTTTGGGCCCAGCTGATTTATTGTCATAAATTTCATTGAAATTCATGAGGCTCTTGGAAGAACCTCAAAAATGTATGAAGAAACAGGGCGTGGCCTAAATGATGTGCATGTGTGTGTGTGTGTTGCTGCGCCTACGCAATGCTCCAAAAGATTTATTTCAATGGAGCGAAGAAATTATAATATTTTCTAACTTCTATCATTGAACACGAAATATAAAAGAAATACAATTCTGTGGGGCGATTATGAAAAGAGCTGTTGATGTATGAATTGTATGGGCCTCTCATAAATCTAGGGGCGCTGTCAAGGTGTCCAATACGTTTTTCTGGCCTGTCTGTATGTTTGGGCCTCAAGTGGCAGTCATAAATTTGGAATTTATGTTCATCTTGCTTTTGGATTTTTTTTTTTTTTGGTTCTAATTTTTTTTGGTACCTTGTCCCTTTTCGATTTTTTCGGTTTTGGTCAAGAGAACCTGCCACAAAGCATAGTTCTTTACTCACTTGTTAATTAAATGCGATTGCATCATCGCATCTTTCAGCTGTCCATCTCTATTGTTCACAGTGGAGGTTAAGCAAATAGGAGTAAAGCAAAAAAATATGTGGGTATCTTCGCAATTAATTATTCTGGCCTTTTATATCGTTTACTTTTGCATTGTCAAAAATGAGTTTTAGGAAATGTTATGAAGCAGGCATTACTAATTTGTTGGCCCCTGCTGTGGGGCCTCTCTAGTCCATTTTATCAAGCTATGACTGGACAGAACTTGTCGCTAATCGCTGCTCATGTACCCAAAGACATGCCGCATTTGTCTTTGTCTTGAATTGTTCGGCTTTGCCTGTCTGACACATTTTTCTTATGAAATTTTCAGTATTTTCTTCCGATTCACTAATTTTTCGTGGCGTGTTTGTTCTGACCGCCAAAATTGCTTGTCCAACATTTGTTGAACATGTTTTTGTACTTTGTTTCGGCTTTTTTTTTATTTTTTGGGGGAACCAACAACGAACTACACGCAAGTGCTGAAGATTTTTAGGCAGATCCGTTAAACATCGAAATCAACTTTTTCAAGCTCATTAAACAACCAGGGAAAAAAAAAGTGAAATAAAGCCAAACGTTGACCTTCAAAAACGCAACGCAACCAAGCGAAAATGGCAAGAAAAAAAAAATTAAATACACATAATACGAAAAATAACAAAAGTCAGAGCTGCTTGGAAACAGGTTGTTGTTTCGCTCTCTCTATTGTTAACATTTTATTATGCTTTTTTCAAGCGGAAAGCAACAAAAGCCCCCAAAAACTCATGCAATTTTACGATTATTTACGATCGGAACACATTTCTCTGCCGATTTTTGACCTTGCAGTTGTTGCACTCAACACGTGCCAGAAATTGATAATGAAAGAACGCGTTTTCAGGTGTTAATCACAGTTTGGGCTATATAATAAATGCGAAAAAGGTTAAAATACCCCGCTAAGTGAAATACCCCGCCCCATTTAGAAGTGAAAAAAAATATTTCGACGACAAAGCACAGATACATACATATATGTACATAATTTACAACTAGAAAGGATCATTTTTTCATAATACTGCTTTCCAAATACCCTTTTGGTAAAAGGTTGGGATTTGATGAAGTGAAGTCAAGTCTACAGAATTATATACATTTTTAAAACATATTACAAAACATGCGAAAATCTTTCAAGCTGAAATTATTAAATATTTTGAATATAATCTACATTTGAATGGATGTATGCATCTATGTATGTAACTACGAAACTGATAATACTTTTATTAAACTTCGTGGTGTATTGTATACGTAGAAACCGCTATTTACAATTCCGTTTCACACTGCTGATCAAGTTAGTATACCCTATAATACTCTATACGATACGAAATAGTCTTATCATAAATGGACTTTTGCCGCGATGACGAAGAGTTTGCGTATTGTAGATCTTTATTTGCCCATGGCTTTTGTTGCTTTTGTTTTGGGCACTTCAAAAGTCGTGTGCGCCTTGTTGTTGCTGGAGGTTGTGTTTGGTTGTTGTACTTCGCTTGTTTACTTTTACGGTAAATACAAAAAGCAACAACACTAAGGACTACAAAAAAGCGCGCGCTCGTCGCGCGTATCTAGATAAATATCTGTGAAAATACACTTGAGGCCAAGCTACTGTATGTACGCATGGTGACTGCGACGCCGGCAGAGATGCCGTCGGCTATAGGCCTGCGGAACAGTGGACGCCACACAAATAAGGCACTGTCAGGAGTACCACAAACTAATATTAAAAAAAAAAACTTTCCATTAACGAAAACATTTTACTGCTAATCAACAAAAACTAAGAGTTGTAAATTCATTTTTGGAACAAACGTTTTCCTGGTATTAGGTAGTCGGTATTAAAAAAAAGGTTTTTAATTAACATTTTTTGTGAAATTCTTTGTAATATTTCTTAGATATACTTTCAGTTTAGTCCTTAGCACCCAATAACTTGCTCTTAGCTGTTCGTGTTTTTGTTGCTGCCTCTGCCACCGGAGGCAACGACCAACAATAACAACAAGTAAGAGCAACAAAAAGAGCGAGCGAAGATGACGCCACGCAAAAAAACAATCGTAAACAGATCATCGAACTCCGCTGCTGTGTTGTTGCTCCCTTGTTGTTGCTGTTTGTTGGCTGCCGTTGGCCTTGAAGGGCCTCAAAAATTATAGATTTTTTTTTCCGGTGCATGCGTTATTTTGGCTCAAAACCATTTTCATTAATTAAAAGTCGTTTTTTTTGCCTATTTTTATACATTTTATTGCCGTTTTGGTGATAGTAATTGAGTTGAATAAGCCCACGCAGCAAGCAGCGACGTTGACGTCGGCAGAGCTGCTTTCACCGCTGCTTGCGTCATGTTGGGCGACAAAGCTGCAACGGCGACAAAGCAACAGTCAATATGCATTTGCTGGCTGTGCAAGCGAGTTCGCATGTTTGTGTGTGTGCAATGCAGCCGCCACAAGTCGCAGTTCACCACTTGAGAAAACCACCACCGAAGCAAAGATAACCACCACGGCAGCGACGTCGACAGCAACCAACCACGAAACCCGCGTGCTTTTCTGTTTTAGTCGCCAAACGATTCTCAAACACGAAGGACGCAAATCGCGGATGATTTTAAGCCGAAATTCTCGAAAAATACGAAATATCTGGACGCTCATTTTGAAAACCATCAAAAGGAATTTGTATCTAAGTATCCATAAAAGTCAAGCATTTTGTGGTTGCCTTAAAGTTA